CATAAAATTCAACATAAAATTAAAGATATTACGTAACAATGTAAAAATAAAATCAATATTTAAAACTGTGTTTGGAGAATGTTCACTAATAACCAACAGTAACATTAACAAAACATTGTTAGATATTAAAGGGATAGTTCACCCAAAATGAAAATTGTTATCATTTACTCACCCTCAAGTAGTTCCAAACCTGTATGAGTTTCTTTCCTCTGCTGTACACAAAGGAAGCTATTTGGAAGAATGTTTGCAACCAAGCAGATCTCGGCCCCCATTGACTACCATAGTATGTTTTTTCCTACTATGGCAGTCAGTTTATAATTTAGGCTGATTGGCTGAACTAACTCTACGAACACGGAAAACAGTGATAGATGGACCTCTCAACCTTACACTAAGGTTAAAATCCAATGCAAGTTTGAGGCGACCGAACGAAACATGATTATCTATTTCTGCTCAGCTAGCGACATTGGACATCAACCACACGGCAAACACTAATACTTTTTCATATACTGATTACTTTCTGATTACTTTCTTTGTATAACAGTTCTATCAAATAGCATATTAGACAGGACTGTTAAACAGATCGTAAACTAATAAATATTTAAATATTCATAGCGCTGTCAAAATAAGTCACAACAACAAGCATGGCTTGTGTCACTTCAGCGTTCCTACTGGCGGTGCGAATGCAACTAGGAAAATGGCCCTAGGGCAGTGGTTCTCAAGCCTGTCTTGGAGTACCCCCTTCCCTGCACATTTTGTATGTCTCCCTCATCTATCACACCTGATTCAACTCATCAGCTCATTAGTGGAGACTGCAAGACCTGAAGTGGGTGTGTCAGATATAGGGAGACATACAAAATGTGCAGGGAAGGGGGTACTCCAAGACAGGCTTGAGAACCACTGCCCTAGGGGAACATTTAGTTCTCTGGGAACCACCCTGGTGGCTAGTTCCTAAAACCAAATTCCTATAACTACCCAGTGCGACAGGGGCTAATGTCACCCTCAGGGTCCACAGTCCATAGTCCGCCCGCACTCGCCCACCAAGAGCACCCTGTTGCATTGGGTCCCGCGGTACTCCAGCGGGCGGCGGGAGTGCAGGTCTCTAGTCCACAGCCTTTCTTGTCTGATGAAAGTATTTCTAATTAAACATAGCAACATACTGACTGGCAGAATTGTTCTTAAAGCAAGTTCATGACCCTATTACATACCATCCTCCAATCTTAATTTGAAAAATGTTTTGTCATCTGTTAGAGAGTCAACTTTTTCCTGAAGATGAAGAATCTTCTGCTTTTGTATCTCTATTGTCTGTTTTACTGTGTCAAGAGCAATTTGTAAAGGGGTTACACCATATAAAAAAGAAAAAAAATTTTTTTAACTTGGCTGAAAGCAAAATAAAAACAAATGTGTCTCACTTGAATTTAGCCTAATTCAGTTAATTATTTATAAAGTAACATGAATTCATGACTTGCTAATGTATCATTATGTCATGACTTGTCTTGGAGGGGCACATCTTTAAAGGTTATCAATTACACATGTTCTATACATATTCAGCTCATCTAAATCAGATATTTGGTGCTTTTTGGTGGTTTGTAAAGAAGTGGAAGAGCAGAGGTCCTGTGGCTGCATTTGGATGGAAAAGGAACTGAACAGTAGGAGGATAGTTGACATTTTGAAGGGGCAATAGTGACCCAAAAGAAGAGCAAAAACACAAGACAAACGTCTGACTGCAGTGCATTATTATGATATAAATATAGTAAACCAATCCATAACATAACCAAAGCGATAACCATCATCTCTATGCTAACACTGATTTTAATTTGGAAAATTGCACCTACTTAATGAATACGTTATTGTTGGACGGCAGCAGTGGAATCACTCAAAACCGAATGAGATTAAATTGTTTTTAATTATGAATGCATCATTGCGTGTTGGATGAGTTAGGTTAAACGTAAATATTGCAAGAAATCCACTGTCGTTCACTGATGTTTGTGACAACTGCAGGTGGCAAATTTATAAACAATTTTACATTGTGCCATTTTCATACATCTTGCTTCTAGAGCATGTTTGATTTAGTTTACCCCAAAGTGTTAATTAATACATTAACTAACATGCAGGAACTAACATGTAATTAAGGTAGTGTTATTCATGCAGTAGTTCATATGACTCATGTCGTAGTTAAGTTAGTTCTTCATTAGTTCTTGATTAATACATATCTTAACTCATCATTAGTTCATAGTCAAGTAATTATTAATTCAGGTATTAGTACATGATAATTCATGTACTGTTATTGTAAAGTGTTACCAAGAAACCCTTCGTTCTCTTTATCAGTTCTGTACATTTGAGATAAAGAAATAAGCTCTCTAATCCATAAGTGATTATACTTTTTTTGTTTAGCTTTATTCCTTCCACTCCCACCTTTCTAAGTTCCTTCTTCATTGTTTATTTTTCATTAAAATACTGTTGACAAACACATAGATGTTCCACTGACTCCTCTTGTGGCAAACATAGAAATCATGATTATAACTTGTGTACCCCCCCCCCTAAAAAAAGGAAGAGATGCATGTCAGGGTTTGTTTTATTATTGTTGTATTTACTGTTATTTTATGTACAACTATTCATTTATTTTGATTCAAGGGCATTGTGAAAGACACATAGCACTATCAGGCGCAAGTGGGGCAGCTAGAAAAAGTTTTGGGGTCCTGAACATTCTGCGGTGAGCAAGAAAGAGAGATGTGCCATGTTTGTGCTCCGTTTTGTTTTAGCTTGTTTTGTTTATTAAAGATGAACCTGATCTTCATTTCATTACACTTGTCTATAGTCTCGTATTTCAAGTGTGCAACACTGCTCACATAATCCTGTTGGATGTTTATTTATTCATTTTAAAGTTTTATTCAACATGTGACCAACCCTTAAACTTGATAAAATTTTGATATCCTCACTACTCCTACTTCTCGCTGTATTTTATAAAGATGACATCCTGTGTTTCCCGTATCATCCTTTCTGTAGAGAGATCTAAATTAATACTATAGTTTATTGTATATGCAAATTATATTTTAAGTTGTTACACCAAATCAAGCAGTTTATAAGGTTTATCTCTCTATATACTTTAGGCATGTAGAACATATCTGCATTTCTGCATCAATGGATGTAATGTGTGCTGTAGGTGCTAAACTTTTAGTAATCTTAACCAAGATGTAGATGATCTTATCCCCGGTGACTAATATTTTAACTGCCTTCTCTCAACCTGCTCAAAATTTGAAACTCACAATGAGCTCACATACCACTCACACTGTGAGGATTGCAGTATGAGGATCGTGTGAACTCACAATGATTTTATTTACTACTCACACTGTGAGGATCACAGTATGAGGATCGTTTGAGTTCACAATGAACTCACCTATTACTCACACCGTGAGGATCACAGTATGAGGATCGTGTGAACTCACAATGATTTCACCTATTACTCACACCGTGAGGATCACAGTATGAGGATTGTGTGATGTCACTGTGATCATCGCATGATCTCACGTGTTGACTGGGCAGCAATCAGTCGCTGCGTCTGAAATCACATACTGTATAGTAGGAAGTACACATGGTTTGAAATTTACTTCACGACAGTTAAAAAAAAGTATGTTCTATATAGTATTAATAAAAGCAGCTGCCTCACTTTACTGCCATTCACAACTTCTCTCTCGAGGCCTCATGGGATATTAAAGTAGGTCATCCGCCTTTTTTGCCTACTATATAGTACAAAAGTAGGCATTTGTGGACACAGAGTGTGATTTGAAAGTTTTTCTCAATCACCTGAAGTCTGCTTCTGTCACACCCCTGTGGACTGTGGATTGTGGTTTCTCCCTCTGTGTCCTTATTTGGTTGTTCCTGTTCTCGTTAGTAGTTATCACCTCATTGTGCTCACCTGTCTGCCCCTGGTTATCTGCTCTATGTTAGTTCCTGTCTCTTGTATTGTAGTTGGTCGGTTATTGTGAATGTTACCCTGAATGTGGATGTCTACCCAGTCTTAATTCCCTGTTGTCAAGTCATTAAATAGCCGTTTATTTGTCATCTTCGTCTTCCTGCCTGGTCTCTGGAACACCCTGCCCGTGACACCTAAATGTTGTGGCTTTTCAAACTGAAAATTTGTGATATTAAAGAAATGCAATTGGTAGTGTGGCAAGTGTTTAGAAGCTGGAGTTTGCTAAATGAAAACACATTCTAAAAATTATTCTTATGTTTAATAGTATTTATGTATTTCATACGTGTAAAAGAGAAAATGAGACGGGTGAAAATACATCTGAACTTCTCGATGGATGATGTGAGGTACAGTTTCCTAATTAACCTGCAAGTTCCAAATAAATGAATAAATGGCTCCAAAGACAATAATAAAGGCCAAAATAAAAGTCCATTGCACACACAACCGAAAACAAATTATTGAATTCATAATTAAAATAAATAAACAAAAATAATATAAAATTGTTGCATACAAAAAATAAAATAACACATTTTAACAGTTTGTTCTTATTTATGTATGTATGTACAGTATGTATGGGGCAGGAGGGAGGGTCTCCAGTGATAACGGCCAGCAACAACATTGTTACAGGTAAGTGAATCCTTTGGGATTATTACAGCATCACAGCAGCACCTTTGGACTATGTATTTAAAGATGAGGGTTAGTAAATATTTCCTCAGAGTAGAAATGTTATACTTTTTGATTAATTAAGGTTTATATTACTTTGAACATAACTATTTTGTTCCAGAACTCCCGATATCCATGTAGCAATAAATCAATTACACTCATAATAGTGGAAAACTTATAGAGTAAATTTATATTGTTTTATTTGACTGCTACCCGTTTGTGGGATCTTTTTTGTGTGTGTGTGTGTGTTTTTTTTCTTTTTTCTGTTTTGTTTATTTAGGTCTTATGAGAACTTCTAGTAGAAATGCTATTAATGAAATATTAGATCTGGGTTTTTTTTTCTCTCCTCAGGTTTTGTGGAGAGCTGACCATGGACAACCTCACATTCAGACACAGCATTCTCCTCCTGGAGGGACTGAAAGTTTCGCCTCAATCTTCCGATCCAGTTTTCATCCTGCTTCTCTTGGCTTATGTCTTTACAATGATATCCAACATTGGACTTATAGTTCTGATCTCAACAGAGAAGAATCTACATCATCCAATGCATTTTCTGTTCTGTAACTTGCCACTGAATGATATATTAGGGACTACTGTCATTTTGCCACGTTTAATGCAAGACATTTTAAAGGAAACCTCAGAGCGCTATATCACATATGCGGAGTGTGTTACTCAAGCATATTTTGTACATGTATTCATAGCTGCATGTCACTATGTGCTGATAATCATGGCTTTTGACAGATATGTGGCTATATGTAATCCACTTAGATATTCATCTATAATGACCAATAAGATGGTGATTAAATTATCAGCATCAGCCTGGGGGCTGGCAATACTTTTGGTGACAATTATGTTAGGACTCACTGTGCGATTGTCTCACTGCAGATCTAAAATTGAAAACCCTTTCTGTGACAACGCCTCACTGTTTAAATTGTCTTGTGAAAGTGTGGTCATAAATAATGTGTATGGAATTATTTATACTGTGGCTGTACTCTGCTTTTCAGCGGTATCTATATTTTTAACATATGTCAAGATTGCTGCTGTATGCAAAAGTAGCAAAAACCAAGCACTGAACAGCAAAGCTATAAAAACCTGCAGTACACATTTAGCTGTTTATTTAATCATGTTTTTTTCTGGCGCTATCATGACATTTCTCCATCGTTTTCCTGAATACTCTGACAGCAGGAAACTATCTAGTATAATGTTTCACATTGTACCACCAGGATTAAATCCCTTAGTATATGGTTTACAAACCAAAGAGATAAGACAAAAAATGGCTAAACTTTGGTGGAGAAAAAAAGTTAATTCTTTGTAATTTTCTAATAATCTTTTGAATTGGGGGAAAAAATATTTTCATTACAATTTATTGTTTGTTTGTTTTTGTTTTTTTCTCAGAAAGAAAATACAATAACTTTGATTTTTAACTTTAGTTTTTCTATGTGTGATACTGTAAACTATTCTAAAATTATTTGTCTAATTTTACTTTCATACAATTTGTTTAATTCAAAGACTGGCATTTAGTCCGTTTTAATTTTAAATGATTTAATTGTAATTTTCAAATGTATACATTTAAGTACAGAAACATCCATGTAAGCAAAACAGAAAGCTATATATTTATTTATATCTACCTTTTTATCTATTTATGTCTTTTTTAAGCCTTTCTTCAGCCTCTCACAGCAAGGTATTGCAACATCTTTAATGTCCTGTTTCAGGGACTTTGTATGTTCTGAACTTCTCCATTGTCGCCTCATGACAAGTCTCAAAAGTCGGTGAAAAGGTTAGTGGGTGAACAATGTCGATAACAAAGTAATTCCATGAATGTTTCAAATGTAAAATGCTGGAATGATCATTGTAAACAAAAAGGTTAATATAGATTAAAACTACACTATGTAACTTTTGACCCTCTTATGGTTAAAAAATAGAACTGTATGCGTCTTGCGGATGAATGCTGTTTTGGATGTGCATGTTTTGTACTGCTGTGGGAAGAATCTTTATTAAGCAATTTATACCTTGCGTAGAGAGAAAAGTAACATGGCTAACAAGGGTGCACAAGGATAAAACCATAAAGGGAATCACACACACACTGTTAGGGAATCACTCTGTACACACATATTTGTTTGTTTTAGGCCTGTCTGACTCTTGAAGATTTTTTTTTATATTCCTCATATTCTGTGCAGTGAGCAGTTCACAGCAGTGTCAGATATACATAATGGGTCAATATTTGCCCCCCTAAATAATTATAGGTGTACTTTTACTTTTGTATGGGATTTATATATATATTATTTATAAATGTATACATCCATTTTTGTGTCAAATTCATGCATTTATTAATCAAATCATTAATTTAGAATAAGACATAGGCTGTTACCATTCAAATGAATTCAGTATCAACAAAATCCATCTTTGCACTGCACTGGGAAATCACATACTCCTGAATAGGTACTTATTTAATAAGTAATTATTTTGCAACCCCTAAAATGTATGTTCTATATAATATGAATGTGGGTGACCTACCAGTGTTAGTTGCATTGATTTACTGCCTTTCACAACAAATAAAGATATATATACATAGATGCCTCAACAGCAGCTGTTTCTATTGACCATTATACATAAGCCATCCGCTATGTTTTAAGGTTAAAAGCCAGTCTGCAAAAAAAATAAAAATATTTGGCCAAATGAGTAAGTATGAGCAGGTCAGTGACGTCTGAGCCTGTCTCGAACAAAACTCTGCAATATTTTCAAACCTGTTTGATATTATCACCACGTGATCTTGTTGTGTGTTCGATACAACTACAAGGTGGATATAATCCAGCCAATCACAATGCAGATTGTATAAATGGAAACATATTTTAATCACTTGCATGAATTTCATGTATGAATTTGTGTTTTTTTCGCTTTTTTCCACTGCCTCTTCACCAAATGTCTCGTAGTTTGTGCACCTCGTCAGCGTTTAGTTGTGTAGTATGCATGCTGCTATGACAAGATGACAACAGATAGAATATAACTATATATCAACACCTTGGAGTTAGAAGGCTCTATCTGCATTCTGAGCACTTAAACTTTAAAAAAAAAAAAGTCACATAATGTAAATAAGTTGTCACAGAATAAGAATATGTGAATAATTCAATTTTGACAAAAATGGCAGATAGACCCTTATAATCCCAATGTGACAAGACTGAGAGCCTGAAATATACAAGATACACAGCACTGTCAGGTGGGACTGCAACTTTGAGCTGCTTTGCCATGCTCATTTTTCTCATAGCTTTACTAATATAAAATAACTTGTATCCTTGTTACTCAGAAGACAGGATACAGGTTTAACTCATTCGAAATACTTCTGCTTAATGTTACACTGTCAGATATGCAAAATAAATATATAGTATATTTTGCTCTGGCTACTGTGTATAGACCACCAGGGCTGTATACAGATTTTCTAATAGAATTTGCAGATTTCCTCTCAGACCTTTTGGTTACTGTTGATAAAGCGCTAATTGTCACTAATTCATTCACAAATAATCTGCCTGATTTATCTCAACTGCTTTCTATACCCATAAATACACATGAACTAGACAAAATGACTAGCAACATGGGCGCTATCTTCTCTAATACATTAGAAGCTGTTGCCCCCATCAAATTGAAAAAGTTTAGAGAAAAACGTACTGCGCCATGGTACAACAGTAATACCCATTCTCTCAAGAAAGAAACTCGTAGTCTTCAGCACAAATGGAGAAGAAATAACTTGGAAGTTTTTAGAATTGCATGGAAAAACAGTATGTCCAGCTATAGACAGGCTCTAAAAGCTGCCAGGGCCGAGCATATCCACAAACTCATAGAAAATGACCAAAACAATCCAAGGTTTTTATTTAGCACAGTGTCACACTTCTCGGGAGGCAAGGAGCGAGGAACGAGGAAACACGGAGATAACTTCAGTTCACAGTCTTTAATGATCACACGGGGAACGTAGGAGACACTGGAACACAAGGAATGACGTTTGAGGACCGACAAACACTAACTGAAAGGACTGGGGCTTTTAAACACTGGGTGATTGGGAAAACACAGGTGCAAGGAATGACTAATTAAAGGGAACACGGCACACCTGGGGAGGGAAAACACAACACAAAGAGTCCAGGGGCGTGACATTACTCCCCCCTCCCGGAAGGTGCATCCTTGCACCATAGAAACAACATGGGGAGGGGAGTGGGTGGGAACTAGGGAGGAGGCTCAGGTGGAGGACGGACACCCGGGAGGGGGCCAGCAGACAGATTCCAGGGAGGAGACGATGGAGGGAGGAGACAGGAGGGACCCGGAGCAGGAAGAGCACAGCAGGACCCAGGCCACAGCCATAACAGCGGCCCACGGTGGAGCCGACGGAGGGAGGAGCCATGGAGGAGGAATGGCCACCGACCCCAGGGGGCCCGACCAACGGCGGTGGAGCAGGTGGTGGAGGAGCCCGAGGCAGAGACGGAGAGCCAACGAGCCAGGGGGATGCCGTGGATCCGGGGGGGCCAGGGTGGAGCCGAGGGCTCTGGTAACCAAGGCGGAGGCAGAGATCCGGAGATCCGCGGTGGAGCCGGAGCAACTGAGGACCAAGGTGGAGCTGGCGGGAGGAAGGAGCCCAATGGAGCTGGCGGGACAGAGCGACGAGGCACAGCCAGAGGAGTGGAGTCCAGAGGCGATGGCGGGTCGACGCCCGACCAAGGCGGAGCCAGAGGGACGAGGGAGCCTGGTGGAGCTGATGGATCGATGGGTGACGGTGGAGACGAGGGAGCTAGGAGCCGAGGTGGAGCCACTGGGTCTACGGGCCGAGGCGGAGTCCGGGCCTCAGAGGCTGGAGGCGGAGGTGAGGGAGACTCCAACCACGGTGACGCTGGAGGATGGCAGGTGCTCGCACCGCAATGAGGGTGGGCTGAGGGCGAGCAGAGGAGCTGCCAGCTGACAGCGGTGGAGGAGGCTGGAGCGGGTGGGAGAGCGGGCATTTTTGAGGAGCGGGCACTGGAGGGCGCTCTTGGGCTGGAGCCCTTCTTGGGCGAAACTGGGGATCAGGAGCCCTTCCTGGGCTGAATTGGAGATCAGGAGCCCTTCCTGGGCTGAATTAGGGATCAGGAGCCCTTCCTGGGCTGAACTGGGGATCAGGACCCCTTGCCCCTTTGTTCTGGTACTTATGTCCCGCCATAGTCAGCTCATCCTCAGCCATGATGCAGGGGGCGGAGCTCCTCTCCGCGCTCACACCATCCACGGCGTGCTCCCTCGTAGTGGGCACTGTCACCGGCTCTCGCACCAGGTCTGACGGGTTGTGCTCAACTTCCAAGGCGATCCTCTGCTCAGTCGCTTGGCTTTGCTCTGGCTCGCGGATCGCGGCGGGAATCGGTGGGCTCAGACTGATGCTCCATACCGTGGGGAGATGGTGGGCTGGGCTCTGTGTCTGGAGTGGATCCGGCGAGATCCTCCACGGGGCAGATGGTGAGTGGCGACCCGTTTCTCGCCAGAGTCCACTCCACGAAGGCTGCGAATTCCTCCCGAGGACCATCTTCAGATGACAACGCTCTGCACTCAGCGTTCAGGCTTGCATCATAGAAAGAGCAGAGCGCGTCGTCCGGATAGCTGGTGATGTTCGCGACCAACAGGAACAGTTTGGTATGGTCCTCGAGAGCTTTGTCTCCCTGCTCCAGCAGGAGGAGGAGGAATTCGGGGCAAGTGAAGGGATCCATGGGGACACAACAGAAAGAAAACTGCAGTGCTTTACAACTATAGGACAGGAAGAGCTAAATAAACGTATCACTGCATCTAAACCAACAACATGCCTGTTAGATCCTGCACCCACTAAATGACTGAAAGAGTTGTTACCTGTAGCAAAAGAACCGCTTCTCAATATTGTTAACTCATCATTGTCTTTAGGTCACGTCCCAAAAGCATTCAAGCTGGCGGTTATTGAGCCTCTTATTAAGAAACCACAACTAGATCCTAGTGAACTGGCAAATTACAGACCCATTTCAAATCTTCCGTTTATGTCTAAAATTTTAGAAAAAGTTGTGTCTGCTCAATTGTGCTCCTTTCTGCAAAAAAAAAAAAAGATCTCTATGAAGAATTTCAGTCAGGTTTCAGGCCCACCCATAGCACAGAAACTGCACTTGAAAAAATTACAAATGACTTGCTTCTTGCATCAGACCAAGGCTGCATCTCATTGCTAGTTTTACTTGATCTTAGTGCTGCGTTCGACACTATAGATCATGACATACTCATAGATCGATTACAAAACTATACAGGTATTCAAGGGCAGGCTTTAAGATAGTTTAGATCCTACCTGTCCGATCGCTA